GGATTACCGCGCGCTCCAAGAAACGACTGGCCGAAGACACAGCTCGAAGTATTGCAGCCAGAAAACGGGATCACCACGCGCTCCAAGAAACGACAGGCCGAACTGCTCCTCTCTCTCTCTCTCTCTCTCTCTCTCTCTCTCTCTCTCTCTCTCTCTCTCTCTCTCTCTGTGGCTTCCCTATTGCCGTTTGCGTGGAGGTCTTATTGTCTATGTATAGTCTTGCTCCACCCCTCTACACATGCAGGATGTATACTTCCGTTTCCTAGGGGAAGATTCATTCTGGAGACTTGTCTCTTTTTTTTTCTTTTTTTGTAATGAGGACCATTTCTCAATTTATGTGTGTCGCTCCAACTGTGACGAATGCCCCAGTGACAGGCCCGTGGCTACAAGGGCGTGTACCGGATTTTTTTTGAGAGCCCTTTTTCTGAAGTTGGTGCCCAAAACCTGTAGCATAACGCACGTGCGTTGTATACGAATACAACGCACATCGTGCGTTGTATTCATATACAACACACGTGCGTTTTGTTCGGGGGAAGACTGTAGCACTGGCGCAGCTATGGCTGCCTTCCCTCTGCCAGCGCTGGGCAGCTATGGCTGCTTCCTCTGTCTCTCTCTAACAGTGCGGCTCCCTGGCCCAGCGCTCCGCCCCTCACAATTAGTGCACAAGTGCACCAGCACTTCCACACTTCATGCAAATGAGCAATCTGCCAAATGAGGAGGCTGGCCAGTCCTTATATTGTCTTGGACCGAGCTTCAACTCGTGCCAGCCTTTGCTTCTTGGGGCTTGGCTTAGTTCCGGTACCACATCCCCACGGTCTGTTTGCTTTCGAGTATCAGGGCCTGGTACCTTTCCCGAATTTTCATTGGTGTGCTGCTGCTTGGGCCTTTGAGTCACGGTTTTTCGATTATGGCACATGGTTTGTAACTGTGGACTGTAACTCTTGGGTCTGGGACACGACTCTTGCCTGTGGAATTGCCCTTCGCTCGTGGGATGTGACTTTCCAACATGACTTTTCATTATGAGACGTGATTTTGGCCCTAAGATGTGACTGTTTGCCAGGTGCCTGTTGGACTTGACAGCTAAGGTACCTGACTGTGACTTTTCTGAAACTGACCGACTCGGCCTTTTCTTGGCCCAGGCCTCTGACCCTGAAACTCGAATTTGGGGTCTAAATCGTGGAAGGCCTTTCACTCTCGCCGGCCAAATTTCGAGGTCCT